TCCTTCAAGATTTTTTAAATATTCAGGGCAATTTGGAATTAGATCAGGAAATAACTGGAGAGTCCATAGGGACTGGCTTTCCATACTCAAACTCAGTTGCTGCTGAAGACCAGCTGGAACAATTTGCACATGCTGGAGCCTTCTGGGGTCACAGAGGGAACGATTGTACTTGCCAACAGCAGCGGATGATACGAGGGAGGATTTTAGGAGGAAACACTGAGGCACAGGTGTTACCTTGGCAACTTTATGGAGGTGGCAATAGCTGCTAGGCAGGAAGAAGCAGCTTCTAGACAGGGAAGGAGACAAGGCATACTACATCCTATTTTATCTGTGGGTAGATAATCAGCAACAATTTAATCACTGGGAACAGGAAACCAAGGCTATGCATATGCTTGGGAGCAGCTTATTAGACCAGAAACTCCCTCTTTGTACTGCCTAAATTCACTGTGTGAATTCACTATGTTCCTGTTAAAGAACATAGGGCAACAGGCACAAACTGAAACTCAGGAAGTTTCATCTTAATCTGAGGAAGAACTTCTAGACTTTGAGGGTCGCAGAGCACTGGAACAGGCTGCCCAGAGAGGTGGTGGAGTCTCCTCCTCTGGAGATATTCAAAACCCGCCTGGACACGATTCCATGCAAGCTGCTGTAGGTGACCCTGCTTCGGCAGGGGGTCTGGACTAGATGATCTCCAGAGGTCCTTTCAAACCCCAACCACTGATTCTATGACTCTGTTACTGGCCTTTGGGCTTACAGTTGGTCTGAATCTGTCCCTGGGTGGTGTTACAATGCCTTTAGTATAGTCCCTGCTGATTTACACTGATAAACATCACAGCAGAATCAGGAGTAACAATAAAGGTTGAAAAATTTACCAGTAAGAGACACGTGATTGCACAGGTAACATAACAGACATGCCTCACTGAGGACAGCTTGCCTGGAAATTTTGTGCCATAATATAGACCTATTCATACTGGATGCCCTGCATGTCAGTTTTTTGCCTCCCAGAGGTATAAATCTGCAATTCTTCCATTTTAAGGGGTCAGATCCTTGGATGAAATATTCTGCATACTAATTATGACTGATCAAAACACTAGACTATATTCAATCATCTTACAAAAAAGTGCTCTTCCAGAGCTGACCAGTGGATGAACACAGCCAACAAGGCCTTTACAATAAAAAGTCTCAGTGGTAGGAGCAATGCAGAACAAAAAGATTGTTTCAAAGGTAACAGCTTGTACGTGCCTGCTTCGTCCAAAGCTGAGACAGGACAATGTTCTCTGAGATTTGTGATGTAAGGGATGCCAGACTTCAAGTGCTTGTATTGTTCTGCTAATAACCATTAACATAAATCAGAGGCTATTAGAAGTGTTCTCTTGCTCTCCAATCTATATGCTTGTCCCATCACGTTGGAGTAAATATGTGTCAAGGAGCACAGTGACAACTCAGTATTCGCAAGGACTACATACATATTCCAGGATTTCATATCTTCTGCAGCTCTGAAGTTCTTTGGCTTAAAAAGTTTCTTTTCTGAAAGTATTTTTGTTGTGAATATTACTGCATTCCCAATCAATGGGCACAGAAGGTTTGTGCTTTCAGAGTTCACCAGTGAACAGATTTCAGAAAAGAAGGGAACAGCTTCACAAATGGAGAAGCTACCTGCTGTGCTCTTTCAGCCATTTCTGTGTTCTCCTTATAACTGCAAAAATAGATCACCAAATCTCTTTTCATGCGAATCTTTTGAATTTTCAAGGACTGTGCAAGGAGACAAGCATCAACAACCCAGCTTAGTTGCACCACTTCACTTAACATCTCACTTACGATGTATTTTTAAGAAGTATTGCAAAAGTCTTAAACTGAATGGACCTGCTAGCAGCATGACTTGCAGTCCCTGTAAGGTGTAAGTGCCAGTGCTGCATTTGTCAAAGCAAATTTGACCATTTCTCACTTATTTTGAAAAGTACAGAATTGCTGCTGCACTCTTGGGGAAGGTTTAACTCACTACCTGACACAACACACATACACACTCCTGTCATAGGGTGATATTCCTGCATTTTGGCTTCATGGTAGGAGAAGGGCTAGGATGGGCAGTATGCAAATGCTTCTGTAAGAAGCTATGTGACCTTGGGTGAATAAAAAAAAAAAAAAGATTTTGTTGTGCTAGTGGAATAATCTCCACGGATGCTGTATACATACTTAGGAAATAAGTTAAAATCTGCAGATATCCTATATAGTGGGTCAGAAAGACCTCCAAAGCCTTGCAAATGACTAGACTAATGGTGCCATCTGTGAAACAGCTACAATTTGCACTAGGAAAAAAAATTGGTCTTTAGAGCAAATACATCATGCCTCTAGGAACAGACAGTAAAGTGCAGTTAATCAAGTCACAGTGAACAACATGCTCTTACCACCAACCAGGGTCATGCCTGACTGGAAAAAACCTTTCTGTTTCTCCCTCCTTATCTTTACCAAAGCAGTACAGTCCTCAGCAGGGGTGTCCCAAGTTTGTCTTCTGCTGTTCCTCCACTAGAAACACTGGTGAAGCAACATAAACTCACTCTGCCTAGAGACTTCTAGAGGAACTCTTTTTGCAAGAGGGCAATCTGCCAAAGGCATACATCTTGTGTATCTCCTCCAGCAGTGTTCTACCCAAAGTAAAAGCAAGAGCACCACTTGATTCTCAGAAGGAAGAAGGCCTGTTCTGCCAGCAGCTTGGCTTCATACAGGAGAGGATTGCTTAGCAGCGGATTGCATATCAGGCCCATGATCTCTGCCTCCACTATTTCTGAGTTTCACTCAAATGCAATGAAGGAAAGAAGGCAAATATGACTACAACCATGGCAAGACTGAAAAAAGAGTCTCTCTAAGATTCTTGGGGCATCTCTTCTTAGGTTCCTGCAGTGAATCTGAACTGCTTTGTTATACTCTGTAACAGAACAGAATAGGCCCATATATCCTCAAAAATGTTAATTAATATCCTATTAAATATCCATGTAAAATGGTTATTCCAAGGAATGTTCATTCTATTCCAATCTCTTAGAATTATAGAAATAGAAACAGAGATTTTCAATGATTCTGCAGGAAAAGAAATGAAAGAAAAAGCTACAATTTTCATGCCACCATAGAGAGCTTCAAGGGAAGAAACACTATTTTCTATGTGCAAGGGGCATTATCTAGATTGGAGAAATAAGCATGCGGATAGGAGGCAGGACTCCTAAGGTTTTTCAGCTCACCATGTAGCTGTGTGAAAAGGGATGAACATTTCCAAAATAACAGACTGTAACCTTTCTGGCAATTTGACATACTGTTTAAAAATGTACTTATTAGTAAAATAATATAGAAATGTTTTAAACACCTGTGTCTGTGACAAGTTACAGCTTTCTGAAGAAGGATCAGCAAAAGCAATATGCATGTTAAGGGCTGTTTTTGGTAATGAGTTGGACATGAATTTTCATTTCACAATAACTAAGATTCAGGCTGATAAACAAAATGACAGTTTCAAACATTATTTTTTTTATTTAATCCCAATTTGACTTAATTGTTAGAAATAATTTTTAAACGCAATCAAAAAAACTTAGTTTCACCTCACTAGGCACATGTATAAAATTCATGTTGCAACCAGAGGTCAACAGGTCTGTTCTGTGTTTGCTCATACAATTCGCTGTTCCTGAGAAGCCTGAGTGTTGAATAAGGAATTGCCCTTTGTGATTGCAACCCAGACTTGCTCATTCTAATTGATTAACTCCCAAAGTCTTGCAGGTGTTCAGAAAATAAGAGATTTCTATCTAACATTCCTTACATTCATCATCGAGGTATCTGCACAACTCCACCGCATATGCATGAGTGCCTACCACCAAGCCTAGATTAGCAAATCCTTTTCTCTTCTATTTTATACTATAGATCCTTCCAAGAACATGATGACCACATCAAGGGCTGAGCACAGAGGAGACTTGTTATGTTCTGTTCAGGAGTCTTCACTTGATAACTTACTAAGTATAGCACACACTACCACAGTCCTCCAGTCCAGACTGGAAAACCCTGCAAGGAGCAAAATCCCTTGATATGTAGAAGGACAGCCAAGCACAGCAAGTACAGGGAAATAAAAAATAAAAGTAAACCCAAGCATTCAGGTGATCTGTGGATTACTTTCCAACAAGTTTGAGTCCTGGAGACATGAATAACAGAATAGAATGGATAATGTAGATGGCTTCCCACCCCCAGGGTGATCTGCAGGTCGGCCATGCATGGGGTGAACATCTAGACTAGCTTCATTCCTAAAAGGAGTCCTCACAGATGCTATGGAGGTCCTGCAGCCCTTTTGGAAAACAAAGTGGACTAAACACAGACCCTGGCGTGCACAGTCAGAAGCACTGAATGTTGACTGTTTGTCAGTAGCTTTTATTTCATGCTGCAGCCTGGATGGGGGAAAAAGCAAGTGAAGAATTTTATGGGTTTTTGACAAAAAGTCAGAGAATATGTTTTAGCATCCTTGGCACCCTCTTTTAAAGGAAAAAAATACGTACCCTATTTAGCTCTGCGATATTTGACAACAGTATATACAAATATATCTGATGTGGTGCTTAGAAAGATGGTTTAGTGGTGGACTTGGTAGTGTTTGGTTAACGGTTAGACTCGATGATCTTAAGGGTCTTTTCCAAACTAAATGATTCTAGATTATATGATTCTGTCTAAAGCACAGTCTTTATCAGCATTCACTGTAATGAGAACCTGACATCTCTGTAACTTTGTATATTGAAGGAAAAAGCCTTTGGCATCCTCTGTTCCTATTAGCATTCCAGTGCCGGAGCCAGGACTCATTCACAGAAGGAAAGCAAAAGGAGTAAAGCTACTGATGGCTTAAAGGGGTTGCCTGTTCAGTAAAGGCAGTGAAGCAGGTCTTCTTTGGGGTGCCAACACAAGTTCTAGATTTCATTTCTGTATGGGGTTTGTCCGTCAGATTTGTCCTGTTCCACCCTTACAAGCAGATTGCTGGGAGGCACCTCCTATAGCCTGGGATTAGATCTGACTCCTTTGAAAAAGTTGCAGAAACGGAAAGTAGAACCTATCTCATTTAGAAAAGCTAAGCTCCAAAATGCAGTCAAATATCTGTTATCACTTAACAGATACATTCGTCTCAGGGGAGCACATACCTCTGTGTAGGCCTGCGTTACTTGTTCATACAGGGTCTGATGATGATGGATGGCTAGTTCCAGGTCTTGCATTTCGGAGGGGAGGCCTCCTTCACTGCACATTTTGCACCAGGCATCCACACCTGAAAGGAACTGAAACAATTCCAGGAACAATGAGAAACAGTGACACAGAACAACATCTCATCAACATTAGAAAACTTTTGTCTGTAGAGCGCCAGGTACGACTGCAGCAAGGACTGAGGAAAATGTAACAGTTATAAAGGAGTTCTTTTGAGCACCCTGGAACAGCACATTCCTGTCATCTCCTCAGTACCTGAAGAACACCTAGGTCCAAAGGAATGTTTTCTGTTTCTTCTGGGCTAAAACCAAATGCTCCTTTAACCCGGTTCAGAAAACACCCATTCTATGAGTCTTTGCATACCATGCAGGAAGGCTACAACATTGCATTCCAAAAAGGAATGCTGCAACATGTTTTAAAAAAATATCAGCACGCAGCACAAAAGGACACAGTTACAGTTCCAGCTGTATTTGGCACTGTCTCAGCTGTCAGTCTTCCCTCAGTCGCTTACCTGTCCTTAACACTACTAATTTGAGCAATAGAAAACTCCCATTAAAATCAACGCTGACATCCATTTCCGTGTAAGGCAGACAGTCTGTATTCAAATAGTTCCCAACTGAGGGCCAGCTCAGCAGGATTGCTAATAGGATACCAAGGTTTTAAATCCCCGGGTCACACATTTGATTCTGGCCCAGGTCAGCAGTGATCAGATACCATTACCATCTGATGGCTGCTAAGCAGCTAATGCAAAATGAGCTGTTGGTCTCAGTCCAGTTCCTGGTGGGCAGACATCCACAAAAAGGGAGGAAAAAAAATCATTGCCATTGCAATTGATATGGTTTAGCACCTTGGTTGGAAGCCCTAACAGACAGCCAGAAACTGAATGGCTTTTGGGAGCAGAGGGATGGAAAGAAAAATTTTTCCAGTCTTAAAGGCCTCCAGAGCAGTGCTGATGCGCTTTAGTGGAACAAATTGGGGAAGCTCTCCTGGGTGCTGTCTGTTCTGTAAAAGAAAAGAGGAATTTAGTCTCTAAGGTTGCCATCCTCTTTTTCTTTTAAGCAGGGCTTACTTCAATGACACAGCTTACATGTTCATATTTTGTCCATACTAAGGGCCTAATGCCGCCTCTTTAACTTCTCATTAATTTTCTCTTCCTCCATCTTTCTGTTGAACCAGCCTGCCATACTTTCGGGCTATTTATAAAAAAGAACAGCTAATTATACAACAGATGCAGTGCCCTGTAGGGTGAATGTATAATACTATAAAACCACCCCCAGGATCACAGCTTTATCCACTCCTGAAATGTTCACCTGTGGCTTGTTAGCAAAGCACTCACTCACAGCATGAAGGGCTGTGACATTCAAAGCAAAGAATTTCAATTCAACTCTGGCTCTGGCATCAGCATCCTTTTTTATTAGCAGTGTAAAGCTATTCACCATGCTGCTGTGTAATCAAGACTATAAAGTGTTTGCATTGTAAACACTTCTTTTCAATGCACAAAGATTCAGTGACAAAGATGAATTCCTAAATGTTCACGTCTACAAAGTACAAATTTCCTAGTGAAAACTGTGCTTTCTTGAAGACTGGAGGCAAGGATGGCAGGATCTCTTGTGTTGGTTTGACTCCTGATCTGTTGAATCTCTTCAGATGAAATCCCCAAACACCCTTGCATAATGCTGAAGTCATCATATTTTGTGCCAAGGTAGTGGAATTCACATCATTTCCTATGCAGTTTTAAGAGCACAGAGCTGAGATCAATCCCTTTTGGGGCTGTTAGATGAATCTCTTGGGTTGAAACAGTGAACAAAAGACCTTTACACCTTACAGACCAGTGCTCCTGCTGCTGGAATCACACTCTTATGGCTCTTATCAAAACTGCTGAATTCTACCAATTTCAGTACAAGCTCCTATAGTCATGTTACTTATGTATCGTCACATGCCCAGACTGTGATTTGCATAGTAGGCGGGAGAAGTCTCAAGAAGATCCTATGCACATAACCACATTTTCACCTTGTTGTCTCCCATCTATCTTTCTTTTGTCTATCTATTGTATACAGACAATGTGACATCAACAATTTACATCAGTAATTTCACTTCTGCCACCAGCAGGAGCAGTTGATATCACCTGTTTTAAAAAGTTTTAAGAAATGCAGCCTGTCAAGTGTTTTACTCTTATACAGTGCGTAGTGATCTGTGCTGTGTGTATAGATTCATGTAGGGAGAGCAAATGTTTTTTAAACGATTTCTGCAAAGTGTTAGTTCATACCATAGGACTATTGATTTGGGTATTTTGAAAAAAAGCAGCTATCTTAATTTTTATTACTTGTCACACACTGTGGCAGACACAAAAAACTTTACTAAATGTAACCCTTCATGCTAGAAACACATTCATATCACAAAATCACCATTTCACCGAGTTGAAAAAAGATGCATTTAAAATCATAAATTGCTAACTGTTAGGTTGGAACAGGAGCTGTTACTGTCCACTGGATACTCAATACCATTTAAATCAATGGTTTAAATTTCTAGTTAGCCCACAGACTAGAACAGCTCCTGTTGGGAACATAAAAGCTGCTTAAATATTATTTGAAATGACAGGCTCCAATAATTGTCCATGTTTTTCAACACTTCAGGAAAGATTGAGAAAAATTTCTCTTAAAAAAAAAATAAAATCTTCAAGGTACCTTTGTGCCTCTGATCCAATCCAAAAGTAACTTTAAAGTAATGACCTATGCTCACTTCTAACTCAGGGCCTATTCAGCTAAGTTGCAAATTCTGTATTAAGTCAGGTAATAATGTATTCTCAGACCACTTCTTACTAGCTTTCCTCAGGGACTGCTACACGTATTTCTCCACATTTTCTGCACAGTCCTTGCTTACTGCTTGCTACGCCTCTGCATGAAAGCTGCAGGATAACCAGGATAGTTCTCCTATACCACAGAAAAATTAAAACCAAACTCTAGCGTACTTTCATGCTCCACAGTGGCTGTGGGGAAAGATGGGAAGATGGTCATGAAACAGCTTTCCTCAGTGACCTATAATATCTCTTGATGCCGTGAATTTTTTGTATGAGGTTAACTGTGTATTTCCTGTTGTTTCTGAAATTTCCCTATCTAATGCAGAAGCTGTCTTGGTCTTATTCTGCGTCTTATAGATATCAACTGGCTTTTCCTTTCCTCCCTTTCCTCAAATTCTTCCTCCCTTTTTTCTTTTCCTTTCTTTTTCATATCCTTTCCTCAAATAGGGGAGTTCAGGATGTGCTTAGAGAGAGCCAGGCAGAGATGAGAGATAAGAACAGTAGTCTTCCTGGTTGGGGAGTAAGGTAGTATGAAACAAATGGTCAGGGGTCAGTTTTCAGAGATCAGTACAAACGTCTAGTGTGTGCACCTAACACCTGCTACCTTAAATAGTGCTTGTGCACTTCTGAGGGTAGACTCTGACCCAGAATTAATTGGGTGAGATTTCTCAGCTGACTGAAGACATTAATTTGCTCATTCTGACAGGAGCTGTAGGGTGAGCTTCTTATGAACACTTTAGCAGACTTTCAGAGATTACATTCAAGAAACGGAGGACACCTGGTATGTCTGCTTCCCCTGCCTGGCAGTTAGTGGGCCAGAATTTCATCTGGAGTAAATCAGCACAGCTCTCTTGAAATCATAGTGAGATAAGGCATGCTCTCCTATGTTCTCTTGCAACTTTGAATAGCCTCAGACATACCTAAAGATACAGAAGCAGGTTCTCTTTTGCACTAGAATACCTCCATGCTAGCATGAGAAGCAGGGGGGGGGAAGAGAAAAGAAGAAAAAAACCTCAAATAACCAAGACATTTGTAGCACGTGGAATTAAGGGACATTTGGGAAACACCTCCACTGAATATCCTGAGTTGCACCTTGATGTGGACATAGTGGTTGTCTGGAGTTTAGTTTGCTGGCTTTTGATCAAACACACATGCTGAAGAAAGCTTGGCTGGAGGCTAAGTTGGTAAGATTTGTCTTTTCTTTCTTTCTTTTCTTTTCTCTTTTCGTGATGATGGTTTAGTATGTACAAATTATGTTTAAAAAATTTAAAGAAGACACACGCATGCACACACACACAAAAAAAAGAAGAAAAAGAAAGAAGCAAATGGCAGGGGGGAAGGGAAGCTTTGATCCAGGAACTCATTCAGCCGAGCCCCATTCAACATGCCACATGTATCTGCAATAAGAGCCAGGAAAGCAATGTGATTCTGAGGCACGTGAAGACAGATGTGAAGTTCAATTCCCAGCAGGGTTGACTCAGCCTTTCATCCTTCCAAGCCAGACAAATTGTATTCTGTGCAGTTTTCTGTGTGGGGTCTTTAGGAAGAGACCTTGAAAAACAAGTTGCTTCCTGCTCAGCTTGCATATTATAGAGATCGTAGAGCTTTTGATAAATCTCTGTCCCAAGCCAATAACTTCCTTGTAGACTGGGGTGTGCCAAAGGCTGAAAAATTATGGTCCTAATAGACTTGCTTCCTCTTGGCATCACAGAGAACTTCAATCAATAGGAAGGAATGAACAAAGAGACTGCAGCAGCTTATCGCAGTGGAGAAGGAAAGACAATCTGCATATCAGATCAGTGCGAGGGAAGCAGGAGTACACTGTGGGAGAAATGGTTGGATCCACAACAAGATTACCTTTACTGACAGAACAAAGGGAGCAAAAAAAGATTTGGTCTGTGACAGAGGAAGTAGTGGGTTTATCCACATCTTTGCCTCAGAGATTTAAGCTTTATTTATTGTAAAATAATGAAACCCCAATTTCAGTTAAAAAAACCAACAAACAACCAACTGTGGGTGATACCAAATAATAAAGAATCACATTTGGAATGAATGTTTGATAGACAACAGACTAAGTTATAGACCAAATCCCAAACACCTCACTCTTTATACTATACAGAGGTCAAATGACTAAATTATTAGCATTCAAATAATTGGTTTATCCTACCAGTGTTACTAAAGCAAGGCTGAAATTTTAGACCTGGCTAATGAACACACTGACTCCCACATTTTTTTGCAGCAGCAGTCTGAGTTTACAGGTTTCACATCAGCACTTATCTTCCACTCAGTTGTCTCTTATTGCAAGTGAGGAGCAACTGCGTTTCACAATTAGCAAATTCTCCTGTCTGTTAGTAATGAGAGACTGGCTTCTGTCAGACAGTACAAACTTCAGTTCCTTATGAAGAGGTGCTAAGGCAGGACTGGGTTTTTCAGACCCACCCATACAATTGTAAAGATAAAAGACCCAAAGCTGAAAGTGACATTAGTGTAGCTTTTTTTCAAGTTAAGGCTGAGGCAAAATACCCACTTTGACACTATTCAAAAGGCAGGAAGACAAAAAAATATTCACCTGTACCTTCACAGACAGTTCAATACAGCTTTCTGTTTTATTGCTTTTCACGCTATACAATACCTCAGCAACTCCTCATAAATTGCAAACAAGGCTGACACTTCAGAAAAGCAGGGGAACACTTGCAAAAAAAAACAAAGTAAAATACCCCAAAACCTAAACACCAAACAAACAGGAAAGAACTAATTCATTAATGAACCTTAAACATTGTCATTGTTAGTATAGACTGGATATGAATTATTTTTTGATTTTTCTTTATCAACATATGATGACTGACAATTATTAACACGAAGACTACACCTAAACACTACAGTGCCTGTTGTACTGAGATGAAAGTTCTTGTACTGGGCATCATCTTAGTGTATCAGTCCCATCAGAGCCACTGAGTGTGCTTACATGAGTAAGTGCCCAGTAGGGTGAGTAATTGCTCTATGGTATGGCCCGTTGTCAATAAGGAACACAAAATAAAGAAAACTCCATTATAATTCTACACTCAGAAACAAAAAATAAAGAAAAGCTTTACTCTTTGAGCTAAACTTTTCCATACATATATCCTGGCTTGTGAGGCATGGTTTCTGGCTTATCAGTTATAATTTCTTCTTCAGACACTTGAAGTATGGGTCATTTTACAAACATCAAGCATATCCACTTAGTAGCTTTTATACTAACTACTTGAAAAGAACAAGGACATGACAATACTGCAGAGAGCCCCAAAGCAGTGTTTGTCGCTAGAAAATTAATGTAAACAATGTATGATCAAAGTTGAACAATCACCATTAGGTGGACCTGGTTTAGGTACAAAATAAGCAGAAGGTTTATTTATTTTAAATCTTTTGTAGCTATGAAATTATGGGACAATTCTGGTAGTTGTTAAAGACACAAACCAGAGTTCAGGGACACAGAAAATGTTATTGGATGTTCCTAGCTGTCTCTGAAATCTCTATTTAGCGAGGTCTAACAAAGGTTGGGGCTATGGAGAACACTTGAAGAACAGGTGGTGGAATGAATTCCAGAAGTTTCATTAACAATAATGTGCTTTGGCTCCTAGAAATTGTCTGCTGGTATGGGTCTATGTCATATATGTGACTATTCCTGTGCACATAGCACATACCACCTGTACATATGAGTGCAGATACATACTGTTTTCCTGACCATAATAACCCTGAATTTATCCACAGCACTGATGAAATATTAGGCAACAGAAATAAAGCAGCATGTTACTGCACCAGTGCATTTCAGTTATGATCAGATTCTTTCTCATCACTAAGCCGTAAACATATTTTCTTACCCATTCAGGGAACATGTGCCAGGTTTTCGGGGGAAATGTTACTATTTGGTTTTGATACACTGATCCACTAGGAACAAGGCTTTTAATCTCACTGCATATAAGCCAAAAGCCATCAGGTAGTAATTTCAGCATCATCATTATCAAAGTAGCAGTGGATCATTTTGCCACTCACAAAAGCAGCTCACCTGTTCAGCTTTCTGGTGAAAGACAGCAGACATGGCTAAGATGGTGCTGCGCTCATCCAGAGCTGCAGCAAAACTCTTCCACTCTTGATCCAGCTGGCTAGATATTTGTTTAATTTGCTGAGAAGCATAATGGCCTGCCTCGGAAAGCCTTGATGCAACAGACATGATCCGATTGATGTTGACATAGGCATTCTGAAAATTAAAAAGCACACATAAATAAAGAGAAGGAAGAACCATGACCACCCTCTGCCTTCATTACACATTCTAAACACCATCAGTTGGAGTAAAGCTGAGCAGTTCACCGAGAGCAACCAACCATGTGCTTAAATATGCACGAATAGCAGGTGTACTACCTTCCACTCTAAAAATACATCCCTCAGCAACCTTTTTGCACATCTATGCCATTATCTAACACTCATCTCCCCCTCTCTCCTTGAATTTATTTATGTAAAACTAATTTGCCATACTTTAGCTATTTACTCACCTGTTAGGGTCTACTCATTGCTTCTATCTTATTCTTGATATTTCTGGATGCTACATCCACATATTCACAAGTGAAATGTTTGCTTTCTGTCCTTTGAGAACTTTCTGACAATCCTTTATAGACATGCAGTGTCAACAAATGGAAAAGTCTCATAGAATTTAAAAGAGCTCATAAAGATATTCTATAGAAATATAAAAGTTTCCATAGAAAAGTCCATGAAATTATATTCTTCAGTTGAAATGTTATCTTTTCTGCAAGTTATTTTAAGCTGTTCTCCAGCAGAAATATCATTTAACTACATTCTGAATTTAGAAGGATTCAAAAAGCCTACTAAAAGGGTAATATTTTCTGTTCTTTCATAAGAATTTTCCATGATGGTTTTCATTCAGCCTTGAAGCAGTGGAAGGATAGTTTTTTCCTCAAACTGAACTGTGGACAGCAATGTAATTGCATTACAATATCCTGTTCTGCACAGGAACATAAATCTGAAAATAAACAGCCATCATGACAATGTCTTACAAAGATGCACCATCAAAAGACAAATGACAGCTGTCTTGCCGATTTTTGGAATGTCGTTTGATGTAAATGTTTTTCCTTTCTCTTTCCTCCTCACCAGAGGAAAGGGACATCCCAGAATTCGAGATGTTTTGCTAATGTTGACTCACTGCTTTCTTGTCTCACCAAAGTATTTCAAAAGGACTTTAGGAATTTGTGACAGTAGAATCTGTAAGACCCCCTTATGCACAAAGACAGACACAGCCCTGATGATTTTAACAGTATTACTCATGGGCAAATAAATCAGAGGTGGAAGTGTTTGTTGGAGCAGAATCTCATCATAGTGAGTGGGAGCACAATGTGGAAAGGTATCCGTCAATCCAAATATGAAATACAACAGAGCACTGCCAAGGCAGGCACAGGTCCAAACTAAGTTGTGAAGCAGGGCAAATTATGTCTGTAAAGTGTGTGGGTTAACTACAAAGTACACTAATCGTAGCTGTAGATGCTAAAGGAGAGAAAGATACGGCCACAGACTTTACAGCCACTCTGCTGTCCCCAGTAGAACAATGACTGTGACATCTGTTATATAAATAACGCAGACCTAAAGCAATATCCAGCCTCCAGTTTTGTTTTTTCCCCTTATCACATAGCCTTTTCTTAAAAATTGGATTTGGCTCAAAATTGTCAGATTAATTTTAAAGAAAGAAATATTTTTTTTTTCGTATGATTAGAGAAATTGATCAAAATTGTTCTGGAGTTTAAAGTATACTAAAAAAGACAGTATGATTTGGAATTTTGACCACCAGCTGCAGTCAAACACTTCTTTGCATCCCTCTAGGTTAGAAACTGGAATTTAGACTAAATATGTAAGCCCTTCTCCCAGAAAGTCTTCATGATTGAGCCTCAGCCAAGATCATTTTCCAACATTTCAGGTCAGCTCTTCTGGTGGAAAGCAGCATAGCATCACTGCTTGTGATCACAAAGCATCACAAAGCTTGGATGAGTTATGCCAAATGAAGACATGGAATTTCGGTGTGTTTAAACGAAAAGTTGCTGAAAAAGTTTTGATTTCATGTAAAAAATAGTTGCTTTCATCTTGCTGTCATTTCCCCCCCCGCTGCCCTGCAGAATTCTCTCGGCCGTTGCAATGCAAGGAGCATGGAGGAAAACAACTGTGAATACCTTGGTTTCCTGTAGCTGCAGTATATAGATGTATTAACCAGTAGAAGGGTAAGGGTAAGATTAGTTGAAATACAGCAGATGTTCTTAGAGTCTGGTTTTTAAGTTAGGGAGATTTATATATTGTTATGTCTGTTTGTTATATTTTTATACAGAGATGAAGATTTTTATGGATGAAATTTCACTTTTCTAGATGAGAATTTTTAATGGAAGAGTACCAGCCCATCCTGTAGCCAACCCGCTAACTCCATAGCTTTTCCAGCAGAAAGCAAGGAGCTGTTTGGGAGTTACCTGCTCACACCTCCATCCTTAGCGCACCAAGTGTAACTGGCTCAGGGAACAGAGATTTCTGAGCTTTCCATGTTGCTTTCTGAGCAATAAATAGATTTGAGTGCAATATCATGTGACGTGCTCTTCTGCATAGCTCCAACAGGTAGTGCAATGGAGGCACCGCCTACTTCTGGACACATGCATTCTTTACCTCTGCTTTATCTGTCCCACCTCAGTGAAGCAGAGACATTGAAGTGGGGCTTAGACACGCAGGACTTGTCCAAGGTCTCACAGAAAAACAAGACAGAGCAAAGACTTGGTCAAAGATCTGGAACTCGAGATGTCACGTCCGACCAGACGTAACACATTTTACAGTCTCAGGACATTTACCCTGTCCTGTGTCACTAAGATGGGATCTCTGGGAAAAAACTGGGAAAGATGGGCTCTCTGTTGTGAACTGAGGTAAAACACAATATGGCTTTAGGGCACTCAAGTATTTAATTTCAGTAGAAACACATTTCATTGATCACAATCCACAAAATGCAAGACATTTCGTCCCCACCTTGAAGTAGAATAAAATTGTAAGCCACGTTTTTTCATCTTTATCTGCCAATATGCAATGTTCTGAGTAAAATGGAACAAAAATCTATCCTGCCAAAATTCAACTGTTGACACTTCACAAAGTTAAAGTTTCCTTTCCCTCTGGTTTGTTCACCTCTAAAAACTGAAGGAATTGAGATTTTTCTATGTCACTATTATATTGAACTTTTTATCCTAAATAAATTAAACAGAGCAACTAATGTCTATGACTTTATTTTTCCTTTAGGCTGGAAAATCCACTACTAGCAGGTTCATAGAGAGTCTCACTTTAAATATAAACTAAGGCCTCATCCTTTTTTCAAAACTGAGAGGTGTTCCCAAAGAGGACTGCAAGGGATTGCTGATTTATGGCTATATAGGACTACAATAGGTCAAACAATGAGAAAACAGTATATTAATGTCTAGAAGTAAGGGTAAAAGCACTTCAGTTGACATTTTGTTGTTGTGACACTAGGATATACCCAAGTTTTGGTTAATATGTATCCTTTATCATTGAAAACCCTTTATTTCACCTGTTTTTGCAGGTTTTCCAAAAGCACTCCCCATGTTAGAGTTAATTTTTTGTTGACTTTATTTCAACTTTGAAACTTTAGTCAAAAAGAGTGATTTTTGCCTTCTAAAAATCACTTGACTGGCAAACAAAAGAAAAAATTCCCGACATGTACATCAGCATCATGATATGCAAGAGTTTCTTTTACAGTTTAGGAAAGCCTTGTGCAATGCCTTGCAAGTGCACTTACCTCTCTTCGTCCACCAATTCTTCATCCATTTCTGTCACCTAAATAAGGCCTTGATTCTGGTCACCAAGGTCTGTAACACAGCTGCTCCTTTCAGTTTAAGCAATCACTACTAAGGTCCCTAACATTTGGTAGAATAACCAGCCTCAGTCTCAGCAATAAGCACTGACAGTAGTGGAGTTTCAATTGTGGAATGATTTCCCACAGAGAAGTACACTAATTCAGCCCTGATCATCTAGCGGGCATGCTGGGAGACCTTCCCTCTTAATTAAACCCTCCAACTCTAGCTGGAAAATACTTTCTTCTACTACATGTATAAAAAGAATACCTTACAGTCACAAAAGAAAAATGAGCAGCAAGAAGCATTAAATCTGCAAGGAACTTGGCTGTGTTCATCTCATTTCCTAGAGAACTAGTTGAGATACTGTGATGGCAAGCAGCGAAGGTGGGCTGCAAGAGAAGGGTTTTGCAGATTAATTGAAGGTGAAGTTTGATTGTTAAAGAGCTCTTCTTTAAAATAAAATGAAAAAATAACCAGCTTGCACTGTGTTACTGTGAGTTTAGAAACCATCTGTGAAATGAACCTAACACATAAATCCAAAGCAGAATGTTTCAGTGACAAAAACTCATGAGATATCTTTAAGACCTTTAAGTTTCTATAATGGGGCCAATTATATGTAGCCTGTTGCAGAAAAATATTGGATGGCATTTTAGCTCAGCCTACATACAGAAAAATACCGTTCATTTAAGATAAACGTTGGGAATTTTCAACAGACATCATTAGCCTTTACACCATAATTATAACATGTTTGAAATATATTGCAACAACATGCATCTCCATCTAGTGTCAGACAGCTAACTCCCTGACAGCAGGCTCGGCAGCAATGCCAGCACTGAACACTGCCATTTTTATGCATGTCCCACAGAAAGGGTTAAGGCTTGGTTGTAGGGTTGTCAAGCTGGTGAAGAAGTTGCTCGGGGAGAGGAACCTCAGTCCATCCCACTCCTACCAGTTTGAGGCCAGTGCCAGCAACAGATGCCCAGACTCTGGAGAGGGATCACAGGTCAGCAGGAGAACACCTGAAGAGCAGCACAAAGGAATCCCAGACACTCCAGCCAGTAAATCATCTCCCAGCCACTCCAGACAGTAAGTCAGCTTCATCGGGGGCCCAACTTAAATGCCTCTATGCAAGCGCTTGTAGCATGCAGAATAAACAAGAGGAGTTAGAGATGTGCGCACACATGCAGGGCTATGACACTACTGGCATCACAGAGGTGAGGTGGGATGGCTCCTACGACTGGAGTGTTGGAATGGAAGGGTACAGGCTCTTTCAGGAGGACAGGCAGGGGAAACCAGCAGGGGGTGTTGTGAATGGCCAGCTGGAGTGCATGGAGCTCTGCCTGGGGATGGATGAGGAGTTGACGTAGAGCCT